AGTTAATGCATCAGTCTTCTGTTCACTGTCATGACTAACAATATTATATAAAGCTTCATAGCAAATCCTTTTAAGGTTTTTACTTTCACATGTCTCAACTTGACAGATTCAACTGAAACAAAGTCTAACAATGTAAAAGAAAGTTACGAAAAACTAAAAATTCAAGATTATGGGATATTAAAAAGTTTTTTATTTTTTGGTAACTTGATATTAAAAGGATTATAAGTTGTCAGTGGAGTCTGGAGAATGCAAAAAGAACTCGTCAAGGTAATATAAGTTCGGATATTGGGGCTACGGATAAGGTAGAGCTGGTTTCTTCAAGTCCATGTACAGATGGCGGCATATTTTGAATTTTATAAATGAAACAAATTTTATCAAGTATTAGACATCTAAACTTTCTAGAGGTATCTCTAAGAAGGTTAATTGAATATATTTACTTTGTTCCACAAAGAAACAGAACAAATGGTGTAAACACACTACAAAGAACGAAAAGAGACCATCACAATTCACAAGAAAGTGGAGATAGACCTGCAGTGAGGCAATTGCACTCTCACTGTCCTTGAGCTTCTGTTCCTGTTCATTCACTAACACTGACTTGGGCTCTAAAACAAACCTGGCCACCATGAGCAACGAGTTTATCAGAGTAGTCATATATGTACCAGGCAACTCATAAATCAACAAGACCTGAATTCCATCTAATTTTCATGCTTAAAAGAGGCAATCCAGAACTCACGTTCTCCCTGCAAAACAGATTAAAACCAAAAAAAATTATCAAAATTAAATCCCAACATCCCAAAAGAAAATGGGTCCTTTTCTCAAATTAAATTTGACAATTGAGGCAATGGGTTGATTGAAATGAAGCACCTATAGATTTGTAAGTATTTGCATCATCAGATAAAGGCCGCAGCTCCTCCAGGGTTAGAAAAGCACGCTTCTTTTCTCCTTCTTTGTTCCTTATCTGCGTCTGCACCTGAAACCCATCTCAATTCTCACTGGATAAGTTAACTTTTCATCATGTATATTTATATTGACATTAATCATATACATAAATAAATAAATAAGGTAAAGACCTGCTTCAGTTTCGCAGTGAGCTCAATCATACGACCTTGAATCTCAAAGAACGCCTATAAAAATTTGATTATCCTGGTAAATAGCAGCAACCGAGAGAATATGGAAAATCAAGAGACAAAGAGAAAGAAGAACTTACAGCTCTGTTGGCTTCGTCGGCCATTTTCACAAGATTGATTCTTTCGACCTATTGCTCTCAGAGCTTGAGGGATGCTGAAATCTGAACTCGTCAGTGACTTGGTGTGGGTTTTTGGGTATTTGGTCGGGTTTGGCCCTCAAAAGCCCAAATTATTAATTAAGCCCAGTAATTCTTAGATAGTGGGTCGGGTTCGTTATTTATTCAACATGCAACCAAACACGCATTCTGTTCTTGCATTTATTAACCCAATAATCAAGAACCATCTCAATATTATAAAATAATGACACGTGTAATAATGTTATTGGTGGTAAAAATGAGAATGTCCTAATTACTAATGCTCTTTTAATCATGTTAGTGATTACAGGAATGATGTAATTGTCCTTAATCACATATGATTGATTGGTCAATGAAATAATTATAAATACGTTCTTTTAATCATGTTAGTGATTAGAGGAGTTTAGAACCATAATCAAGTAATTCTCCTTAATCACATGTGATTGATTGGTTAATGACCAACTATGCAAACAATTATAGACCGAACAAAATTTCTTTTTACACTGTGAAACCCAATCTCTCCCCTACCGCCGTGCCACCAGTCTCATTCTCTCTCTTCTCTTCTCTTCCTATCTAAGAGAACTTCCACCTAGCTCTTTTTGTCATGGCAAAGGGGAACCTAGGCTCCAAAAACAACACATGTCAAGGAAAAATTGTCATAGCAAGAAGTGGGCCCCATGAAATTGGGCAAGCCCAAAGGCAAGAATTGCTTAGGTTGCTGCTGACATCATGCTGGTCTAACCATGCTCTTCACTTCTCACACCAAAATTCATACAAATTCATCTCCTCATATCTCATGTGAATAATGGTTGCACTTGGGTTGCCATGGCAATGAGTGAGAATGCATTAAAAAAAAAAATTTGCTAGGGTAGACACTATTCACGTAATTGCCCTTGTCTTCATTTGCCTTTTATCATGGCAGATGAGTGGAAGTACTCTAAGGGGGAAAATGAGACAATATCACATTACTTACTATACAAATTAAGTAAGCTTAGAAACTATGATTGTGGGGTGTCACATTACTTAGTATACAAATTTAGTAGATTTAGCAATTATCATTGTGGGGTCTAGATGTCCAATAAACAATGACAAGTTGTCTCCAATTAGATGTAACGAACAAGGTAAAAAGGAATATGCTAAACGAACACTAGAGTCCAAAAACAAGGAAAGTGACATGGTAGCTGATCCGACTATTTTTTTTTTTTTTTTTTTTTTGGGGAAGTCTTTTGGTAATTGTAGTTTAGACTCTTTTTTTTTTGTTTTGGTCATAGTGGTTTAGACTTTGAGGACTATGAAGTCTTTAAAAAAAAGAAACATTATTGCGTTCAGTGTGTGTTGTTTAAAATTAGTGTCTTTCTCAAGACCAAAAGTAAATAAAATTTGTGCCTCTTTTCCACACCAAAAATAAAAAATAGTTTTTTTTCGACACCGAAACGAAAAAAAATAGTGTATTTTCAACGAGCCTAGTTCCTTGTTTGGTCTGACAGAGACTTGGCAAAAATAATAGAATGATAGAGTATGCAAGTTGACACAAAAACGTACCAAAAGACCAAAAATACTCGTAATTCCCTCTTTGAATTTTGATTGACAATTTGACACAACCAATAAAACCCCTCAAAAAACAAAAAATCCCAACTTTCAAGATTTTTTTTTAGCGGAAACAGAGCAAGGCACACAGAGATTTCTGAGAAAGGAAAGCAAAGACCAAAGAAGCCATTGGATTTGAAGATTGAGCCAAGAAGGTTTTGGGTTACGTCTGGTTTGGCGCTTTCTTCGCCCCAATGCCCTCAACCTTAACCAAATAACTGGACGAAATCTCTCTCTCTCTCTTCGAAAAATAACTTACCTTCTCTCCATTTTACTACTTTCTCTCTCTTCCCTTTATTTATCTTCTCTTTTATTCTAACTTTGAGTGGCTTTCTGGTAGCCCAAAACGAAACAAAAACAGATACACGAAAATTTTCCTCCATTTCCCGGCGACCCACATCGGAAGTTCACATCTTTGCTCCGACCCAGATCGAATCCGGACCCGAATACCAAGCCACCAACCCCGCATTGACAATTGCGATGAACCCACAATAGAAATGCATGTGGGTCATTAAGCGTGTCAGTTGTCAATGATAAAAGTTGGAGGAAGTGGTTGAAATGTAAAGCCGGATTCGGGTGCGGATACGGGTTTGTTTTCAGATTCATGGGGATTTGCTTCAGTTCTGAAAAGCAGCAGCATTCCAATTGTAATCAGACGAGCCCACCAGGTATTATATCATGTATGAATATATTTTGCTTCACATTTAATTATGCATTAATTTCCTATCAAATAAATTATTAAAATGGGTAATCATTAATCTGTATCTAATGTTTCTTATTAGCTTTGAATGCATTTGGAGTTTTGGGACCTTTTATTTCGATTAATAAAATTTGTGATCTTATGTTGGTTTCCTTCTAAATGTATGACCACAATGGAAATTATGCACAGTTATGGGGGAAGGGAAAAAATTGGGTGTTCTTGCATCATATCTTGTGAAAAATCAAAGTTTTCAGTTTTTACCTTTTGTCATTTGTCACATTTTCTAACCAGGTGACTGGATTTGAAGCATTTATTGGAGTTTGTATATGCGAGTAAATGTGGGCCACACATTTTTTTTTTGGGTGGACATCTTTGATGTTGGAGTACATTTTTTTTCTTTTCTTACTGGTGTGCTTCCGAAGGCATTAAGTTTTGATACATGAAATTAGGAGGTTGTTGAATTTCTTTTGTACTTCTTAAATATAGTTCTGATATTTTTGAATGTTTATGACAGTTATTTTATAGCATTCTATGCATTTATTGCCGCCAATATGTTTCTGTTCTTCAGTTTCCATATTTTCAACTTTTTAAATGGTGTGTTGTGGTTGCTGAATACCCGGTTATTATAATGAATTTTCATGAGAGTATGGTTGAGAAGCAACCAGCAAGAACCCTATTCTTTCTATGGTAGGCTAGTGGCTAATTTTAAAAATTAGTGATGGGAGCATTTTTGGAAGTAATGGTTAAATGATAACATAACTTTTCTCTTTTTCTTTTGAAAAAATTTATGCAGTAGGACATGGCTCTGCTGCATGTCCACCTCCCGATAAAAGTGCAATCAACACTCCTTTGGCTTCCAAGAATGTCAAGGACCTACGGCAAAGTCCCGGATATATCAATGTCAGCATCTTTACTTATGATGAGATGAGTTTGGCCACAAAACGTTTCCGGCCAGAGCTAATTCTTGGTGAGGGTGGGTTTGGAGTTGTATATAAAGGAGTTGTTGATGACACCGTGAGGACAGGTTACAAGACCACACAAGTTGCCATCAAGGAGCTTAATCGAGAAGGGTACCAAGGTGATAGGGAATGGCTGGTATTTGACTTATCTTTCCCTTTTATCTTATTTATTTTCTTAGAAATGAGGCTTTACTATATTCAATTTGTATACTTTACTCCATTATGATAAAGAAGATAAATTGTTGTAATCAGAACATAGTAGAGGGAGGTTCTAGTGCCGATTCTGCCCAATGTTGATGATGAATACATTCTGATACTGCTGGCAGAATGGTCTGTTAGATTGAAAGCTTTGGTAAATCCATTCCATATTTTATGTTGTCTCTTGCTGTGCAAGACAGTTTTTTATACTGTTCTTGACTTATGAAGAAGCTCCATCAGAAATAGCTTAACTATCTCTCAACTGTTGATGCCTTTGGAAAGTAATGAGGGCTATCTTGTTACTTACCGTAGCATTCATACAAGTTGCATTGCAAATAGACATTTCCCCAAGCTGTCCCTTTTTTTCTTTCCTTCTCTCCTTTTATGGTCATGGTAGAATACATACACTAGTGTTTTAGTAGCTTTTAGAATTAGATATTCATTAACATTCCTTTTGGAGACATCAAAAGTGGAATGCATGTATTCAGTGCAGCATGTTTTTCAGTGGTGATTAGGGGAAAAATTAAATTATAGATTTCTTAATCGAATTTAGTCCAGCATCGTTTAGAATCCATTATTCATTAAAATTCCTTTTGGAGACATCAAAAGTCAACGGCATATGTGTGTGGTGCAACATTTTTATAATGAATAGTGTATTGGTAATTAGGAGCCAAAATCAAAGGACAGATTTGAAGTGCGAAGTTGATTTTTAATTTCCTATATCAAGGATCTTCTGGAAGAGAAACAAAAATGGAAAATCATGGCCTATGGGATTTAGAAATGAATACTGTAACTTCTGTTTTAGCAATGATAAATTGATAACTGACATGGACAGTAAGACATTGATCTAACATGTATGGTAGATGGTGTTTCTTGCTTAAACAGGTAGTTGTCTCTCAACAATTCCTAGTTCACCAAACTGGAAAACCATGTCCAATCGGTGGCATTTGGCATAATTTATCATCAGATTACTTTGTTTTCCTTTTTAATTTGCTAATAAACTAAGCCTTCTTCCGGGGTGTTTGCATGTATAGTGGAGATTAATTTGTATCCTTTTGTCATGCATTATTTTTCTTGCAGGCAGAAGTTAACTATCTAGGTCAGCTTAGTCACCCTAATCTTGTGAAGCTGATTGGCTACTGCTGTGAGGATGAGCACCGGCTACTGGTCTACGAATACATGGCAAGTGGCAGCCTGGAAAAACATCTATTTCGCAGTAAGTGTTTTATGCCATCAGAAATATATGGGATGTTAAGAAAATGATGTTTTAGGTGAAGCCAATTTATAGGACTTTTAGATTAATGCCATTTATTGCAATAATGGATGATGGAGTCAAAGTATTACGAATTCTATTTTTATTGTTTATCATCCCCTTGCACTTTTAATCTCAAGAATGTTAAAAGCCATTCATCTAGCTTGACTTTGATTGTTATATACAGTCCAGAGCGAAATTTTCTTTTTCTTTTTCTTTTTCTCCCAAGATTTTCCTAGCTATGTATAGGGTTTGAAGGCTTTTCAAGTTCTTATGAAAACTGTCTTTCTAATAATAAACAAGAAGGTGGTCAAGTGAAGGTGAAATAAAGTACTCAACTATGCATGTGATTTTACTTATTTTTGGACAAATGTACAAGTAAACTGCATTTATCAGTGTAAAAATGTGTTACAGTTTAGAATACTTAGAAACTTAACACTTATGTCTGGAAATTTGACTTTTATTAGATACGAACAAGCATTTCTTCTAGTTGTTCATCTTAATCATCTGAAATGTTATGGACCATTGTTTATATAAAATATATGCCTGCAGGAAGTGTACATGTAGACTGTATGCAGATATTAAACTTCCCCAAACTGCATATTGATCCATCAACAGTCTATTGCAACAACATTCAATTGAGTGTTCTGGTGGATACTTTTGACACATCAAAAACATTGTGCCTCTTTTGGTTAACACCGTAATCATTTCTTTTATTTTGGGTGGTAGGAGTGGGCTGTACGCTTACATGGTCAAGAAGAATGAAGATTGCTTTAGATGCTGCAAAAGGGCTTGCTTTTCTTCATGGTGCAGAGCGACCAATAATTTACCGTGACTTTAAGACATCAAATATTTTGTTGGATGGGGTTAGTTGTCTTCTTTTTGTTATCTTTTATATAGCACTTATTACCATTGAGCATCTTATTGGAGGTGCTGTCAGAAAAAAAAAATTCAAATATTTCAGAAGTCTAATTTCACAAATGAAACCCGAACCAGAAGATGAAGTATACACAAATGCTTCTTGTCAGGATTCTTTGTCCATTTCTGGAAAACAAATATTGGTATTTTTTTTAATGAAATTTGTATGTTCTGGCATATGAGTGATTACTTCTGGGGAAGTTAGGTTGGTTTATGTAGCTGAAAATCTAACGATAACATGCAGGACTTTAATGCAAAGCTTTCGGACTTCGGCCTTGCAAAGGAAGGGCCTATGGGAGACCAAACCCATGTTTCAACAAGAGTGATGGGCACATATGGATATGCTGCACCTGAGTATGTAATGACTGGTGAGTTGTTTCATAACTACGTCGCCGAGTCATATCATAAAACGTTATGCTTTTTCTTTTTCCTTGATACAGATTGACAAATGCTTTCTGTTGCCAAGCGAAGAGATTATTTTGATGTTTATTAATCATATATCAACTTGGTTTTTCAATAGCAGTGCACCTAAAGTAATTTTGTATAATTCCTTTCTCATTATTGGCAATGTTTACATCATAGATTGGTAGGTTAGACCTTAGTAATCCATCACTGAGTATTAAGTTGATCCAAACAGGGCATCTAACTGCTCGAAGTGATGTTTATGGATTTGGAGTGGTGCTACTTGAGCTGCTCATTGGACGAAGAGCAATGGATAAGAGCAGGCCCAGCCGAGAACACAACCTGGTTGAGTGGGCTCGTCCACTCTTGAACCACAACAAGAAGCTTCTGAGGATTGTAGACCCTAGGTTGGAAGGGCAGTACTCATTTAAAACTGCCATGAAGGTGGCCCAGTTGGCATATCAATGCCTTAGCCAAAACCCAAAAGGGAGGCCCCTTATGAGCCAGGTGGTTGACATCCTCGAGACTCTTCAGTCATCAGGAAACCACGAACTTCAAAGCGGAGATGGTGCTGTAACTCTTTATGAGGCTCCCAAGGGAACAATTGCAAGTCCTGCTAAGAAGAGAAGCCAGAACAGAAGAGACGGTGAAAGGGGAGGAGAGGCGCATAGGAGCAATCCGGGAAATGGAAGGAGCAAGAGTGAGCCTATGAATGATTTCGATCGTAATAACTTGTCTCCAAATTTTGTGTCGCATGAAAAGTAGCTTTTAAACTTGTACCAGCTAATGGATGGAGGTTGAAAATGTACAAGATAATATCAACTGGTCTATCCATTTAGTGTTTTTGAGTTAAATTCATGTTCCCGCTGGGTCAAATTTGTGATTTATAATTTGTAATTCATTTTCTAACACTCTATTGTATGCGCTACCTTGTACGTTGTGATTTTAGTATAGCATCTGAAGAAAGGCCTTCAGCATTCTCCTCTCATTCTTAAATATTTTTTTATAGTTTGTTTTGTCATTAAAATTCAGGACAGAACGGTAGTTCCTTACCCTACAGTGTGGTAAAATATTCCATCGCTTTTTATTCTGGTCAACAAAAATTCTAGCATTTTCTTTTTTATACAAATGATATCCTACTTTAATCAAATCTAAATTATGGAGAGGGATTCAAATTCGGGTGCAAAGTGGAGAGTACATCTACTCTAGTCAACTTGGCTGGCTAAGCCCATGTATGAAAACATTCTACAACTTGCGCTATGCTTTTCCACCTCTTAAACCTTTTCTTATATATAAGATAATAATAATTACTGAGTTATCACCCAAGGACATAAAAAAAGGCCCGTAAGGAAATTATGCTTAAAAAAATTAGAAATGGGCAATCATTTTCATAAATTAAAGGACAAACTACATAAAATCCCTCAAACTATAGGGTTATTTTTAAATTCATACCCAATTTTAGAGACATTTACGAGTACATGCTCAAACTCCCAGAAATCCTATAATTTACCTCATCTATTAGTCAAACTGTTAGTTAATCTATTAAATGTTGACGTGGCATTTGTGGGTTTCACGTGGGCAAAAATTAATAAAAAATTTATTTTTAAATTATTTTAAAAGATTAAACATATTAAATTTAAAAATAAAAAATAAAAATAAAAACCTTACCCAGATTCTCTCTCCCGATTTCTTCCCCCACCACCCAGATTTCGTCGGCTTGGTTCAATGAAGCAATTGAAGGATGCATAGGGGTCTTCCATGTTGCTCACCCCATGCCTACCAAAGAACTTGATGAAGAAGCAGTGACCAAAAAAGCTGTCCAAGGAGCCCTAGGCATATTGAAAGCCTGCCTAAATTCCAAGACTATGAAGAGGGTTGTGTACACTTCTAGTGCATCAACTGTGGCTTACAGTGGCAGCAGCCAATACTTGGTGGATGAGAGCTCATGGAGTGATATTGAATTTCATAGGTCTCTTAAAATATTTGGAACTTCATATGTTGCTGCCAAGACCAAAACAGAGCAAGCTATCCTGGAATTTGCAGAAATTGGGTGGGGGAAGAAGAAATCCGGAAGTTTGAGCATGTACTCATAAAGTCCAATTTCTTCAGAGTTTTAATATTTGAAGTTTGTTGTTACTCTTTGATATTTTTAAATTGAATGGCTCTCTTTCTTTATGATATATTGAAGACCTTTCCAAAAAAAAAAAAAATTATATATTAAAAGAAATAATATTAACTTCTAGTACATAAGTTTTTCCAGGCAAAAAAAAAAAACAATTTTAGTAGTGTTTTGGGAATATAATTAGGATGCATAATAGTTTAAACTTTAAAATTCTATTGTATCAAATCTATGCTCTCAGATGAATTTGTAGGAGCAACTTCCCTTTTTGCTATTAAACAAAACCAGGCCAAAAAATTAAAAGATTTGATAATAATAATAAAATTAGAAAAAAAAAAAAAAAAAAAAACCCTTTCAACATTGTATGCTGAAAATGGGAACTCCCATACTGTTGAAAACGGAAAAACTCTTGGTTTTCAATACAAGATGGAGAGATGGATGTGCACATTACATTACATACAACAGGAAAATGAATTTCTGACTGAAATTGTACTACCAGTACTAAAGTATCTTACACAATGAGTGGAATCTGCAAGCACCATAACATCATAACCTTGGTTTATTATCTGACTATCAGGAGCATTATCCTACAGAAGCAGAAGATTGTCGTTAGTGACACGCCTTTGAACGGAAAATTTATAAACTGTACTAAAAATTTGAGTGTTGGACAAGGAGCATGTATATGATAACAGAGATATGTTAAGTAGCCTTACCCCATAAATGATGCAACTTCACAGCTAATTGAGTAACCGATCTTCTCTCTGAAGGATTCGAAAATTCCATGTTCACAGCTTCCTGGATAGAAGACAAGAATTCTTGCTTTGCTTTTGCAGACAGACCAAGGTAATTTGGTCCATGAGTGGTGCTCAAGTCAGCAATCTAAATGAGTGAAAATGACCATGTGTTATCATTTTGCTCTGGAACACATATTGGTTTCTATGCAACAAAATTTTGAAATGGCTAACATAGGTGGAAGAAAAGCCCCATTGGTTGTTTCTTAGTAAGTTTGAATCATTTTAACAAATTCAAATTTCAGTTGTATAACATGACAGTGCGTAATATGAACTAAAGTGAAGATCTAGAAGTTCTGCAGCAAGTTACAACGAGGCTGCTCTATAGTTATGGACATAGTTCTTAAAATATAATTCTATGCTACTATAATGTATGGAAAGAATGTAGACATATTGGCACTCAATTTGTTCATAATAGAAGTTACGATGTATTAATCATGTATAAAAGCACTTGCCTGCTGCAACCAAGGAATTATGGTATTGATAAACCTTTGTTCTAGGAGATAAGACGCTAAAATGCTCAGAACACCGCTGGCAGTTTTAGGAGACAAACATTCTAGAACCGGACCAGTTCCATCAAGAAGCTCAACCAGAACAATTTCATCACCAGAACAAAGAGCTTCCACATATGCAGAGTCTAGGTCCCCTTCACATAGAAAACCTTTCACTTGTTTCCAGAGGCTATTCTTACTTTCTACCACATTTTGTCTCAGTTTAGTACTAGAAGCTGAAGAAAACATAGCATCAGTCCTTGTTTGACTATTACCCATCCTTTGTGTTCCCTGCCCAGGAATTTTTCGAATGTCTTTCCCAGTAGGATTCCTGGTAAGCTTCACCTTAGTATTGCTCCATGTCTCTGTACTTTGTTTTGCGGAACTATTCGCTTGGCTCCTGCCAAATGTGTTTTCCTCCCAAATATCAGAATGTTTCATTGACAACAACGAGGGCTGTCTGTTGCGCACATCTATAGATGGCCTAGGAGTGCTTGTGGAGAGTCTTGGAGAATGCACAGGTTGGCTTTGTTTCATGAGTTTGGAGGTTGCTAAATTGGAATGCTCTCCCCTGTGTACAAAGTTCTGAGCTAATCCATCTACAACATGTTCTAGACCTACCACCCTTGTTTGTAACATAGACAAGCTATCCATTATGCCAGACGTAAAGACCTGTGAAAGAGTTCAATACAAGAGCTAAATTACAGGGTTCACAGTAATTAACGATGTATGGGGAAAAAAGATATTCTGATTTCTAGGCAATATATGACAGAATGACCATATATTTCAAATACAATTAGACTGCTCAAAATGTCAGGTAGGACCTCTAGGCAGTGTTTACAACAATAGGGTTTAGTAATTAGACCTTAGCCAAGACGGTCAACTACAAGTTTACCTCAAGAATTGGAGAAGGAAAAAAATGGAACTAAGATGACACAAGATGCAATGCTAACAATTACTTTCAGACGTTCAGGATTAAAAAAAAAAAATCTGATATGAAAGGATACAGTGACTCCAGAACTTAAAACTTTTGTACCTGGAAACTGAATGGCATGCCTACTCTTTCTTGATGATTTAGCAACAAATGCAGTGTTATCAATTGATTGTCGTTCATATAAAGTTCAAAAAATCTTACAGATGGCACTCAAGGTTTTTGCATAGAACAGCATATCAAAACGTTTAATTAATTATCTAAGAGTTAAACAAATGGTGAAGCAACTAACACATATCTTGTCCGAAAATATCAATATATGTACCTGTAAAAGATCCACTAAGTTGGACTGTTTGGTTTCAATCTCCACTAGTTGTTTTCTAATGCAAACCACTTCATTTGCCATTTGTGAACAGCATCCATGTGGAGAATGGGAGCCAGATTCTGTCACGGTTGAATCAAGACTTCTACGGTCATGTATCCTTTCAGAGTACATCTGTTTCTCACTACTAATATCTTCAGCTGCAAATCGCTGATTTCTTCCTACTGGCTTCTGCAAACCACCTTTATCACTGCTATGAGAACCTGTAACAAACTTCGCCTCAAGGTCATCTGTGACAAGATTGGACCCAGATGAACACTCTTGCTTTTCATCCATAGGCACATATTCATATCCAATGTCCTGTGTGCTTGTAAAATCTGTGCTTGTCCGTTCTAAAGTCTTTGTAATAGAGCTACCCTCAGATTCTTCATTGTTAAATTCGGACAAAGAAGCGTTGTGGGTTTTTGGAACTGCAATTTCAATATGCCAATCATCTTCATTGGAACGTTGATGATTTTCCACATAACTTGGACATGTTTTTTTCATAGACAAAGGAATCCTGCTCTTAGTTGAGCCAGTAACAGCTTTCTTGAGTGTGATATCCTTCCGTCCAGATTCACTAGCACTAGTGATATCACTGTAGTCACCTCCACAGAAATTCTCTGAACAAAATTGGTAAAGCATTATGAGAACAAGCAAAGCGCATTAAGTCAAGAAACATTCCAGAACTAAAAAGAAAAAAACAAGAAGATATTTTCTTATCAATCAAAGCAGGCTTTCTATGCACTAGTAATATACATGAGGAATTAGGCTTCGGCTCCCCTATCATAAAAGAAAAATGAGGAGAAAACATAATTGAGGAAGCAGTATAACACAAAAGATATCATGATGAAAGACGATCTCTTTATCCACAATGCATCAGAAGCTAAAGTAACTCATCAGAGGAATATTAATAAGTTCATATGATGAAAGATGTAGAACATTGTCAAACAAGACTGCTTTCACCTATTAAACCTGTTCCTCCAAAAGTACACCAACATTTGAAGGGGAGTTTAGGAGCATGTATATTTTAAGCATGGGTTCAACTAGACCTTTATCATCAAAACCAAGTAAGATAAATAAAATCAGCTACAAGTCAAGTTCATATTTGGACTTTCAGGTTAAACACTTCATAAACTCCTTACATAAAGTTAAAGTTTTCATTTCATGTAATATACAGGAACTATTCTCAAGGAATTTTATTGAATTCCAGATAATAGAATAGTTTCCTTTACTAGGTTAATAAAACTGCACAACTACGCTAGTCATTGTAGGATTCAAGATGCATCACAAAATGTCCAAATCCGATTGAACTGCACTAGCTTCCGAATCTTCTTAGCTTAATAGGAAGCATCCAGAGGCAACACAAAGTACCAGAAAACAAGTAAAACCAACTATGGATTTAGATGTTTATGCGAGCATCCAGCACACAAGATAGAATTGAAGTAAAATGCAGCAAGTAAAACCAATCTGAACACACATATACAGATACTGGCCAACCAGTCAGTAAACCTTTTATTGAAGATCCAGCTTCTGAAGGTTCAGGAGTATCTGATCCTGGAAGACTTTTCCAGCACTGTAGAGCCTGCAGGACCGTATCCCTAACTGGTTTCACCTAGAAACAAAAGAAGCACCAAACAGATCTAGTTTAATCATCTGCATGAAAGAAGATTCTCCGAGTGTAGATCTTTAATTAACACTAACCTTGTCAAAGCGACAAGATTCAAGCGAATGAATGCAGGAAGCCTTAAAAGAGCCCAAGAAGGATCCACCACCTGAAGCTATTTCCCCTAACGCTATGCATGCAGCTTTGCGTGTTGTCCAGTCATTACTCTTGAGAGATTCTTGAATGCTAGCCATTGCAGCAGAGAGAATATTTTGTGTTGGAGCACCCCCTGCCTAGAACAGATAATCAAATTTTGCACCAAAAAAACATTTCTACCACACAAAGTACAAAAAGTATAGGTGCTACAAAAATATACAGTAAAATAAAATAAACACAAGCATGTGAAGTATCAAAGTAGGTTGTTTAGAAGTGTAGTAGCCAACGGCACTATCCCATCCCATTCACTGATTAATTGAAAAAACACACTGTACTATGATTGAGAGGGAACACCATATAGCATGTTTTACAAATTCTAATAATAATGTGAAAACAGAGATTCAAAGAAGATTCTTTTGCACACAAATAAGTAAGCAAACTAATGCTATTCATGCAAATACATCAAACTGTGATGATTAAAGGAGCTGTCATCTTAAATTGCTTTCATTGGTATAGATTGTAAACTCAACATTAAAAACCTCTCCTGATTATGTGAACAATAACTCGTAAGATTTGCAGATAGAAATCAATTAACATTTCTTCATACAGCATTTGGAAAAACAAAATTTGCAATACCAGAATCATAAAAGACAATCAATAATATCATGAACAACTTATGTTTGCTTAAGAACTCACCTGGATAATACTTCTGTTCAATTCAATAATTGCTGGCTTCGCCATGAAATGTGGATTTTTTAACAACTTTATTGTTCGGTTCAACATACGCTGCAGAATTGAAACTGGTGGATCATGACTATTGTCAATGACCCTAGCTAAACACAATGCTGAACCCGACTGCATCTGCCTGTTTTGTTCACCCAGAGCTTCGAAAAGTGGCCTTACTAAGACAACAAAGACTCCATCACCCTCACCTGTATCATTACTCAATTTTGAAGCCAAAACACCAACAGTCTCCACACATGCATCTCTCACAACAGAGTCTGGGTCCTTTAGTCGCTTAACAATGCTGGCAATCATCTTACCAAGATGCAGCCCAACAAGCCCCTCATGAAATCTCACTAATGTACCAACCAGTCTAATACATTCCTTTCGAACTGCACTCTTTTGTTCTGAATCTGTATCCAAAATACAAGACAGAAATGGAGCAATCCCTTCTGGGGTTAAGCACTCAGCCATCTTCTCAAGTTCCTCAACGCCTATTTGGTAAGTATCTCGATCAGCAAGCTTGTTCAGTGCACAAACCACCTTGTGTTTTAACTCAAAAACCACCTGTTGCGTATTGACTCTTGTGGGTCCCCTCCCTTTAACGTGTGCATGTCTCTTCATCTTGAATAGTAGCAAGAAATACGCAAGTCCTAACTATACAAGATTAATTCCCTTCAAAGTTGGGATTGCTGATGGGTATAAAAGACGTCACAACTTAAATATACCAGTGGAAAATACTTGGTTTTATTGTTCAAAATATTGAAATCCTGCAAAGTCAAAGTAGACAGGAGTTAAACAAAGCAAACTAAACATTATTCATTTCTTATACCATGATGAACTGAAACCAAGTAGTAACCAATCAAATGAAACCCGAAATTGCTTCATTCAATTTCTTCTTTTCTTTTCTTTTTCTTCTCAAAAGTCTATTTTAATTAAGAAAAAAAGGCGAAACAAGTTGAAACTTCAAGCATAGATGTTGGACAGTTTAGGACCAACAAAAGAAAGGTAGTACAATCAATCATGTGGTTCAAAGTTTGAGCCTTTTTTTGAACTTTTTAAGAAAACCCACGTACCACATAAAAGAGGTAAGAAATTCAAAACATTCCCACTATTTATTACTCAATGTTCCTAGAATCAGTGTTTTGAGCATCAAGCTAAATCCTAAATGTTATTTTTTCAAAGCATTCAAGGAATTCTAAAACAAATTATGAAACAACTAAGATTTAAACCCTAAAATTCTTAGAGCAAGCACTTACACATAGTCTCTGTCAGTTCCCGAGTAGAATTACCCCGGGGCCAAAAAGGAGAGTTTTGCATTGTTACTTCAGAACGCAGTATCAAAGCTTCCTCTTCTCCCATTTTCTTTTATTTTCCCGGCGCTTTCTCTGCTGCCAAACGGAAAATAAAATGTAGAGAGAGATTAAGGAACAAAATTTCAAAGAATGCCTTGGAGATTAACGAAACTTAGAATATAAACAAAGGAATTAATAAAATACTCAAAAGAACGAATCTCAGGGAGCGTTTCTTCTGGGACGGAATTCGAGAAAATTTTACCCTTCAATTGAGAGAGAGAGAGAGAGAGAGAGTTTTTTTCTTGGTTTTTTGTTTTTTGAAATGATGATGGCCTCGGCTTCAAATTTCGCGCTCAGTGCTGGGTTTTCAAATTTAGAAAGGGAGCGTTTGGATTGGAGCTTGGGTTTTGTTTTAACCAATAATTGCAGCTTGGGCACGTGGAGCCCACATGCAACTCCTGATCTCCTTAACCTTAACCGAAGAGCATAATAATGCTTTTAAAAACCATAAATTACTAATTTCAAATGTGGAATGATAATTTGAGAATGTGAAAATGTTGTCAAACAAGTAGTACTATAATGTGGTATAACTCGTTCACCTGTTATAATAGAAGTTGATGTTTATCGATACAAGAATTTCTTTTGGAAGAAGTTCAATTTCAATTTAACTATTTAACTTTGTTCAGTAAAAATTTATTTATCAAATTTATTTTCTCTTATCCTTAATTTATTTATCTATTTCTTTTTAATAGCAAATTTAGCATTATTATTTCAAATTTATTACATCTAAATTATTTTTTTGCCTAAAACCTAAATTTACTTTCTTTTTTTTTTTTTCAAATACATTCAATCTTATGTTTGCAATTTTTTAATAGAAAATTTAGCATTATTGTAAAATCCAAATACTTCCTTTCAAATACCTTAATCCAAATATTTCAAATTTAAAGTGGATTTGGGTTTACTAAAGTAGTCCCAAACAGGACTTCTCCAAATTCCTCAATTCAAACGGGCCCTAAAATTTATTTTAACTTCCAATAAACCCTCGCCCAAGGCAAATACAATGAAAGGGCTATTAGAGAGAATATTGAATGCATAAATTTTATTTTACAATTGTGCACTATATTTTTCTCCCATAAGTACTAAACAAGATTTGTTGATTCCTCATGCAAGTTAATGAGTATGCCTCACTGAGTGTTAGATGGGTAAAAGCTGTGCCTCAGCCAAGTAACTTCAAAATTACCATACGAGATACCACCATGATACACAATCACCTGGAATTTGTTATGATTTATTTCCTTTTATGAAATTTTTTTAGGCTCTAGAACTCATTACTTTGCGATGTTTAGTTGACAAAAAAAGGTGGTTGAATTTGAAATACATTAACTTGCATGAGAGAATGTTATACAAATTAATGGCAAGGTTAGCTCATGAAGCCTGCAACACCCGGCAGCGGTATTCTCCCAATGCCCATATAGGGAATATGTTCCGGTATGCGGCATACGTGATCATACAGTTCCGGTTGAAGACACCCATGATTTCCTGTAAAAAAAATAGTCAAAGGAAAACGATTAAACGCGTCTTCAACAGGTGACAGTAAAATTAAATCATCATTGCACTAATAGACCCCATATTAATGTTTCGGAAATGACATCAAAATTTAAGAAAACAATTTATTGAGATTAGAAGCTAGCATTAATTTCATTTTGGCAGAACATCCAACAACACCTTGATAGTAAAAGGGATTTATTAATGCTGTCCCTAAGGTTAATGTTTCAAGGTTTGAGTTCCCTTATTTCTTGACCCTTTTAATTAGGGATTTCAATTACTATACAGCAAATACTTTTACATGATACCAACAGAGAAAGACTTAATCATACCTCTCAGCCTTACCTAAATTTAATTCACTAAAATTCAATGAACTTTCTCCTATTGATTAGTCAAAATTCCTCCACATAAATCAACATCCAAAACTTTGTTCAACATTAAGAAGAATTAAAATGATGAGAAATATCCATATAATTCTAAAACCACCCTGTTGCACATCTCCTGGCTTGGCATGGTTTCTTGTTATCTTCTGCATGCTTTTCTTTATACATTTTAAATCAACCAAAAGCACAATGAATTTTCTTCCATCCAAAAAACGTGTCAAGCTAAAGCTCAGAGCAAAACAACACAATTTTCCATACAAAAGTGTGCCATTATTAGGAGGCATTAATACAATGTATTCATAATTTTCCCAAAAAAGTTTGTTCAATTTATAATACAAATAACTATCTTATCAATATCATATGTTCATATCCTAACATGAAGAGATCTTGTTGTTCAATGCGATATTCACTAGAAACCCAAAAAGACAAGAATCATGCAAAATGGTAGAAACTTAGAGCACTTGTTCTCAGGTTATGCATTTTAAATAGTACTGTAACAAACAATGAAGTACCTCTTGAGGAAAATCCCCGTTCTCCATTTGAGAATTTATCAAACGTCTTGCCGCACGGTGCAACGGTGTTGGATCTCTCTCAGCCTTCTCCAATAAAAAAGACTACCACAATCAGCAAAAATGCAAACACTAGGAATAACACCAAGGAAAGCAGTGTACAAAAATCCCTATCAGCATCAGAAAACGAACAAATGGGAAGTATGTGGATCTGGAGGGAAAAAGGGTCGAGTTTTTTGGAGTTGTGTCTTGGCAGTTATGGAATTGTTTGGTTGGAGAGGAATGGCAGAACTTTTATCGAAAAATGCAGAGGATGAAGATCTCTAGTGGGAGAGGGCCAGATTTTGTGTGTTTCTGCCGGATTCAATGTCTGATGAACAGAGAGACTTCACCTTTTTTTCTTAAGGGGGTCCTAAATTGTTAGAACTTAGAACTAAGACTTGTGTTGTCTGTAAAATTCTGGTGTTGTACTGAGTGTTTGGGCAGTAGAGGCTTTGTTTGTGTATTTGGCGGACTACACTGCTCGTCTACTTTAGTGTTTTGATGATTAGCTCATATTAATAAAACTACTTGTTCTTATCCAATATTAAAATAAAAAATAAAAAAATAAAAAAATAAAAAAATAAAAAAAACCCCAAAACAATTGTTGCGACATGAGAATAAGTTGAATAAAAACACACACATGTACATGAAACGTATTTGGTAAAACTACATGCATACCTGCCCAGCGTCAATAAGAGCCAACATGGCCCATCCAGTATTTACCACATGAGACCTATCACCCTCAAGATTTGTGTACACCTGTCCAGAAAAGTGAAAAGAAAAACTTTAGAAGACAAGAATCACAAAAACTATCACAATAAAATTTTAACCTAGAACCAATTTAATAGTCACCTCAGTCAAGAACCATCCCATTACTAGCAAAGTTACAATCTCTTCAAGAGTCTTTTTTTGGCAAACGCATCAACATATTAGGTACACTATGAAATAAAAGTATAAAGATAGTGCATTTTCAAAAACAAACGTTACAAATATTCTACACCTTGTTAACCAGTTCTCTATCAAATCACTGTCTGAGAGCTTTACTAAAAGAAAAAACTAAAGACTCAAGACTGTCACAGGTTTTCATGGCCATATAACCTTACATTGATGATAAGGAAATAGAAGCTTCATTTAGATCCAATATATAAATACAGAGACACACACATGCAAACACATATCTTGTTCTATATCAGCATTGATGAACCACTTGATAATTTATAGAAAAATATGTGCATTTATTTGATAACTAAGAAACAATTAAAATCAACAGACTTACCTTGTTTTGACATGATAGATAACTCTCGGCCCAGCCACCAGAAGCAAGCTGTTTTGATAGCAGAAAATCACAAGCTTTACGAATGCTAGAGCTATTGTTATAGTTCCTTCCAGCAGCGACCAACCCTTTTACCCCAAACCATGTACCATAAGTGAAGCAAACCCCCCATGAACCATACCTGTTTAGCAATTTTAGAAATAAAAGGTGCGATCAAACTGAGAACATTGAAGTTTTTTGTAGAAGCAACAAACAGGGAATCATAAATTGTGTTACACTTAAAAAGTGTACATGCATTGATTGAGCAAATTCTTAAAAACATATAGATCAGAGAATAAGAAAGCAGCTAGAAAGAGCTTATATAGTGGTAAACAGGGGCAAACCATGAACCATCAGATTCTTGTATCTTTTCAATAAACTCAACAGCTCTTTTGATGCAACGCTCAATTTCTTCGCTCCGATGACCAGGATATAGTTTCTTAAATGATGCCAGAGCTTGAATAGCAGCTGAGGTACATTCGACATAACTACAGAGACATGTAGAAAGTACTAATTACTAATTAAGTAATTTGAAAAACAAAAAAAACAAAAATAATGGAAACTGACGCAGTTCAAGGTGCTGATATCTTACGGATAATCGATAACAATGTCACCAAAGGTTTCAGCAGGGTTGATCAACTGGAAAAAGAGAAGAAACAGTGAAAAATATTAGGTCCCCCTGATCTCAAGAGGTAATGGTGAAAAGCATAGATTATTGCGACAGATTCTACATTTGGGCCAAAAGAAGGGCATCAACTTTAAATCATTATATGAGTCATCACATGCAATGGTGACTTTTTCCAAGTTTGAAGTAAAATTTACTAGAGAAGAAATGATCATTTTTCCATAAAACGAATTATGAGAACGCGATCTACATCTCGATGGTAAAATTTTCTTATACATTTTCCATTGTTCAAGTGGTTTTCACTATCTTGAGTCAATAAACAACAGGAGAATGAAGATGCCCTTAAACAGGAATCTTAGGATATCTCGCGTAAGGGCTTTGATGATGTGCAATCACCAAACAGAATTGGACATATAGAGTAATGAGGTCCTTTTAAGGTGCACTACAGAAATTCTAACACTTACTAGACGGAGGAGATTATTAGATGGCAGTCATATTACTAGATCATGGACTTGAGCAGAATCCACCAAAATAAAATGAAGAAAAGTGAATGATAATGGAGAGTCTACCTCTAACCACCTATAGGATCTTGTAAGTTCGTATGTTGCAAAGCCACCATCACTATTCTGCAATCACATTATAATAGATAGCTATCAGTGATTAAAAAAATTCTTTCGGGTTATAGATCAGTTGTTACGGAGAAGGCAAAGAAGAGCATTAATTAGAAATCTGTAGACAGGGAAAGAAAGAAGCATCATGATCAATCAACACAGTTCAGATTGTAATGCAATAATAGGTCCAAATAAAAAAGGCATTGTCACATATACTATGTCGCAGTATATGCTTTATTTATTTCACCTTTAAATCATCACAACTCACCCTCCACACCAGAATTTTAAGTGAATTAGATTCGTATGAAGTTCCATCCCTCTTTAGATTTTTGTAAATAAGGGTATATATACATACAGAAATCAGAGTTCTCTGTATCCATCAGCTTAGGCATAAAAAATGGTTAAAAAAATACAGGTAAGGTTCAAGGTAGGTGCAACCTAGGATATCAATTTAAAATAGGTACTACAAAATGCTGCTGCTGATGATGATGATCTTGACATCGTTGATACATTTGATGGGGTATTTAATCTAAGTGATAGATAAATCTAGCAGAGGACGGGAGTGAAGCCTCTGATAGAAAGCTTAATGGATTAATAATAGAGATCCTGTACTCTAGGTTAACCTTAGATGAGGACTGGTGCAACTTACCATTCTTTTGTGGTTGTTAATGTTGATGATCTTCAAAAGAGGCATTTATTAGAAAAGATAAATGTCAATACAACTGCAACAGTCAAAAATCCTAGACAATATTAATAAAATTGGTTCTTGTGAAGTTTGAAAAGTTTATTGTTCTAGGACTGTAATCACCTTATAAATAAATGTCACTTTATCACATATTTATAGTCACATGCAAGCTGCATTTTTACTGCTTCTAAAGACACCCTTCAGTGCATAAATAAGTAGTTCTTGGTGATGTTATGGGGGGTAGAAAATTAATGCACATATCTACTTCAGACTATAATGGTCTCAGCTAACCTGCAATGAGAGTACGACATTGACAGAATCAAATAACCGCTTTGCATCTAGTGGTTCACCAACAATTTCCGATGGAATTTTTGACAATGATAGAACAGCCTGAAAAAAGAAAGGCTTAGAAATGGTGAACAAGGAATTAACAAATGCATCGTGTTCAATTTGGTCAACACTCACTTTCAATCCTTCTGCGGTGCAGTCTGAGATGGGCCATCCATGATCAGCAGTAGAAAAAGGCCAAGCACCCTTTGAAATGTGGCGATACCAAAAGTCAAGATCACCTGGGCAATTTTCTAGAACCTTAATAAAAAATAAAAACAGTCAATTAGGGAAACAGCGGGGCCATTAAAATATAACAGTATTAAGAAGCACAATGATTTCTGATACACATGGAAACGCCACCTGTGAATCCTTGATGAATTTATGTCCCTTTCTTAGAGTTGAACCAAATTCTTCTACAAGGTTGGTTGAGATAATTGCTTGAACGGCAAAAGCAGTGTCCCATAACTGGCTTCCATTGTACCCCTGCAGTGAGTCATAAAATCAGGATGCTCAACAGAAAACTCATTAACAAATGTTGTCTCATTAAGTGCTGTAAAACAAATCTGCATAACTGAACTTATTCGCAGTTAGAGGGTATTAACACTTTCGAATGTGTCTGTCTCGGTAAGCACAGCAAATCAAGCATCTGGATAGTTGAATAAATCACAGCAGCTATAAAAACTTCAAAAGCTTGTTCACCTACCTAGAAATTGTATTAAACTTGATCACATGTATTTTTGTGGAAAGGGAAATTACCATATCATATTATTGGTGACTGCTGAATACAACTAGCACTGGGAGTTATGTAGTAATGTTTTTCAATAAGCATTCTAAAAGCTGTAACGTCACATTCACCAAACCAGAAACATGGAAGAATTATTAAAAACAGTTCAAGGTAAGATGGTAGTATACAGACCTGCATTTTCATGCCATCCTCAGCAATCCATAGATAATCATAGATTCTTGGAAGATGCAACTTAAAAGCCTCTGAATTTGGATCTTCTACCCAACAACAAAGCATATTCAACACCTGCAATCCACAACAACCTCAAACTGTAATTGCCAAATAGAAATATGTGAAAGGAAGGGGTTCAATAGTACTGGTTACCAAAACATGAACATCAATAAAAACATAAGTGAACAACTAAAACACAGTTAAAAAAGTCATCCAGAAAAGGATCAGATTGATCAAAGATCAGTGAAAGCATATAAGAACCTAACTAATAAATAAACTTCAATAAAAGTCTCACAATTATCACCAAGTTTGGTACGCCAGAAAGTGGGAGGGATAAAGGGATGGAAAGATAGGAGATCCTTCATTTGGTAAAGATATGGGTCAGGAGAAAGGAAAATAGGGTGGATGAAAAGCCACTGCAGACACACCAAAACCTATGCGCTTATGGTATAATTGGAAGAAATCTATACAAATTGTTATAAAATTCCTTATAGAATACTACAATATTCTTCCTAATAAAGGGCAAAATATAATCTTTTATATCAAACTGTCCTTCCTCTCTCCTTCCTTTCTACCAAACAAGAAGCAGAGAAACTTGTATCCTTCTCACTTTCTATCATTCCCATGTCTACTACCTGTTTTCTCCTTCCCACTCTCCATCATCCCTTCAAAATATAGCATAAGTCACAGCATTAAAATATTATCTTTACTCTGC